GGCTGTCCCCTGTGGGGTTACTTTGGATCCTTGGTGGGGGCATAGCAGAGCTCGAGAGGCCGGGACACCTTCCAGAACTTCTCATTCACCAGCTCCAGGGTCAGCGAGCCATTCAGTGTCTAGGAGGGACGAGAGGCAGGGACAGAGTTGGAGAAGGTGGAAAAGGGAGTGGATGACCAGGAAAAGGTGACCGAGGGAGGAGGAAAGCAAGAGTAGAAGGGATGAGCGGAGCAGGAACGCACGCAGCGGGGAGACAGGACGGAGGGGCGGGTGAGGGAGGCCCCTGGCGGCAGGGTGCGGCGCTGAGGCGCTCAGCGCTCACCGTGAACGCTCCGCCTCCGGGAGCGATGTAGATGGTGTACTGCTTCTCACTGACGCCCTCCAGGCTGGGCAGGGCGGGCTCCTCCGGGCCGTCACCTCCTCCGGCACCCTCCCCACCGCCCCCCTCAGGTCCCCCAGCGTCAGAGGCACCCCCGCCAGGCCCTCCTGGCTCGCCAGCCTCTTGCTGTTGCCTCCGCTCCAGGGCGATGCGCAGGGCCAAGTACTTGGAGAGGTGGTCCACGGTGGCGTTTCCAGTGGTCTTCACATACCTGGGGGTGAGGAGACAGTAGCGCCACATGGGAAGGGGCGGGGAGACTTTCCAGGGGGCTTCTGCAGCCCACATCTTTGGACGTCTGTGTGCTTTGCTTTCTCAGCGGTCTGGGGAAAGCGCGGCTCTCACCTAGTCTGGCAGTATTCTCCCTTCTCCACGAGCAGTGGGTGGGGCCGGAACACCAGCTCAATTTCTCCACCTGGTTCCGGAGGGCTGGGGGCCCCAGGAGGGCTCGGGGGGCCCAGGGTTCCTCCTCCCACAGTGCCTCCCCGGTCACCAGAGTCTTCGGAACCAGCGCCCCCACCCACTCCACCAGTACCTCCTCCCCCAGTCCCTATGCTGCTGCCCCCTGCACCCCCCCCACGGGGCCTTAGGAGCCTATGCTGCTGCCCCCTGCACCCCCCCCACGGGGCCGCTTAGGAGCCGGGCCAGGGGCCGAGTCAGGAGCGGAGTCCGAGCTGACGTCCTCTCCGTCCCCCTCCCCCTCCCCAGCCTCTCCTTCGCCCCCACTCATCGTAGTGGTCTGATCTGATCCGGGCATCGGCCGCCTCACACGCTGGGCCCTGTAGAAGCAAGGGGCTTGGGTTAGAATGCACGGGGGACCAGCCTGAGGCTTGGAACTTCAGAGAATAAGAAACTGGGAAAGCCTGAATAACACCTAACGATGTACCCTACATGTTTATCTCTTATGTACGGCTGAGGAAACAGGCTTAGAGAAGCTGAGAAACTTGCTTGAGATCACGGGTTCTCCCCTTCAAAGTGTGGTCCAAGAGCCAGCACCTGAAGCTTGCAGGATGCATATTCCCAGGCCCGACTCTAGACCTCCCAGACCAGGGTCTGCACTTTTATTTTTGGTACTAGGGATCGAACCTTAGGTCCTCGCACTTGAGGCAGGTGGCAGAAGCACTGAGCTAAATCCCCCGCCCCAGAGCCTGCATTTTTAACAAAAACCACAGGAAGCTGGCTTAGATGGTGATTCTACTGTTCTAGCATCTACGGAGCTAGAGGGTGAGCCAGTTTCTCTTAAGAGTCACAGTGCCGCTTGTTCACCTAAGCTGCAATTACCGCCATGATCTCCAGGCCTAACCACCAGGCTGTGGTCAGCTTGTGGGATGCTGAGGCTCACAAGTGGCAGGCAGCAGAGGCAGTTCCAGGAGTCCGACCCAGGGGCCCGCCCCGCCAGCCGGTTCCGGCTCTGCTGGCCCCCACACCTGTGCATGGCCTGCATCCGCAACCCCTCCTCGATGCTGGAGCTCAGCGCCTGCTGGTTGTGCAGGCGGCTGAGGCGGATGAGCACTCGGTCTTGGTGGGCCTCGTACTCCTCCCGGCTGGGATAGATCTTGGAGATCAGGGCATCGAAGTTGGGGTCTGGCCGGAGGGACCGCTTAGAAACCAGTTTTTTGCGGCAGGTAGGACACTCCTTGTTCCTAGGATAGCCCAGACAGTCTGGAGTGGTCAGGGAGGACCAGCGAGAGGGTCCCCCCTCTCCCCACCTTAGACGTGTCCCTCCGGGTACCCGCTGCGCAGCGCTGTGACAATGCAGTCAGAGCAGAAGCGGTGGAGGCACTCCTTGGTGGTCATTGTGTTCTTCAGCATGTCCAGGCAGATGGGGCACATGAGTTCTGAATGCAGCGATCGAGGGGAAACTGCAATCTCTGTACCATCCATGATGGCTTCCTGAAAGGTGGTGGTGAGTCAGGGGAAAGGGATTTAGAAACAGGTGGTTCCCTGGAGAGGAGTTTTGAGAACTACAGGGAGACAGAGGAATGTGGATACCATCGCTGGCCTCATGAGGAAAAGGGGACTTCTGAGAGGGGCTACTGGCTCACAGAGTGAGGAACAGAAAGATTAGGGACCATTAACCAAGAGAAGGAGTTCTGTAAAAAAGAAAAGGAGAGAGAGAGGGAGAGAGAGAGCCAGGTGTGGTGCACGCCTGTAATCCCAACACTCCGGTTGAGGCAGGAGGATTGATGTGAGTTCGAGGCCAGCCTGGGCTACATATGCAATTCAGGGCCAGCCTGAACTACCAAGGGAGACACTGCCTCAAAAAACAAACAAACAAAAACAGAGAGAGAGAAGGAGCTTTGAGACAGGGGGACCCGAGGCTTGGTGAGAGGCCTAGGGTGGGGATGTGGGGGCACAGATGTGTGGTCTGGAGAAGATGGAATTTCTTCAAAGTGTGGTCTTGGTAATAAGGAAATCAGAGTCCGCTACAGTGTGTTAGAAATGCAGGTTCTGAGGCTCCATTGCACTACTGACTCCACGGTAGTGCCTGTGTATGTGCCTGTGCCCATATGGGATGGGGATGTCACGAAGTCCCAAGCCGTGTGCACTGACCTATGACACTGAACTGAGGCGCAGGGACGCGATTTGGGCAACTGTTTGCTATCTTTCAAATGAAGATAGCAATATTTGGTCCATCTCTGTGGCAGGGCTGCTTTGAGGATTAGGTGAGATAAGTGTAAAAGTACTTCAGAAAGATTAAGGTGATTCCAAGGTAGGGCCAGGGAATCTGTGGACCTGGACAGGGTGGACAGAATCGGGCAGAGAATGGACAAGAAGCCCTCCGATGAGGTCCGGGAGGACCCTCGTCACCTGCGGGGTCCGATGCAGCTCGTACAGACTGAGTTCCCACGTTTTGCTGGCATTCTGGGCATTCGCCGGCGTCGTCATGGTGACCGGGCACAGACCCCCCACCGGGGCTCCGCCGCCGAGTCGCAG